TGGTGGCTCATGCCTGTAATCCCAGCACTTTGGGAGGCCAAGGCAGGCAGATCACCTGATGTCAGGAGTTCAAGACCAGCCTGGCCAATATAGTGAAACCTCGTCTCTACTAAAAATACTAAAATTAGCCGGGCATGATGGCGGGTGCCTGTAATCCCAGCTACTCAGGAGGCTGAGGCAGGAGAATTGGTTGAACCCGAGAGGCTAAGGTTGCGGTGAGCTGATATCATGCCATTACACTCCAACCTGGGTGACAGAGAGAGACTCCGTCTCAAAAGAAAAAAAAATTTTTATTTCCCTAATGACTAATGGTGTTGAGCTTTTTTTCATGTGCTTGTTACCATTTGTTCTTTTTTTTTTTTTTCTTTCTTTTTTCTTTTTTGATCTATGCCTGGTGAATTCTCCACCAGTCCCTATAAGAAAACCTTGCCCCGGGAGATGGAGGTTGCAGTGAGCCAAACTTGCGCCACTGCACTCTAACCTGGGTGACAGAGCGAGACTCTGTGTCAGAAAAAAAAAAAAAAAAAAAAAAAAAGAGAAAACCTTGCCCTGTAGGAGTCCCCTTCTCTGGGCAACAGCTGGCCTTAGATGTTAAGTGCCCTCTCGGCCTCACGTGCCCTGCAGACTCCTTCTCTACCTGGCTCATCCCGGATCCTGCCCTGGGTCTTGGGCCTTTCCTGCTGGCCTTAACGTTCCCAAAGGGGTGACAGTTGTGTCTTTGGGAGCTCTCCTCTTTTGCCCTGACGAATTCCTTATTGTTTGTTTATCTGGAACTTGTTCATTGTAGTCTCTGCCCACTTGGGCCTCACTGAATTCTTCTCTCCACCTCCTACTGATTCCTGCTTATCTTAGATTCTGTAGCCTCTGATGTTTTCTAGACTCTCCCCCTTGGTCCTGGTGGACTCTCCCTAGTGCACTCAGTTGGCAAACTTTCCAGCGTTGGGGGCCCTGCTGTTCTGGCACAGCTAGGGAGAAGGGCAGGAGGCTGGCTGGCCTCTCTGAGGGTATTGGGGTGGCAGATGATTCACACTTCACTTCTCACCGGAGTGGTGGGGAGGCCTCTGGAGGACCCTGGCTCTGGAGAAGGAGGGGGTTGCCGTGCCAACCCTTGTGGCAGGAGCATAACAGTGGTAAAAACCCACATGTCATTTGTGAGGTACAAAGTCCTGGTCTAGTTTGGGCCCAGGGATTTTTCCTTTCTGCAAGACGGCTCTCTCTCTATTCCATCTGTTGCTCACTCGCGGACTCACTGACAACATACATTTACTGAGTGCTGACTCTGCAAAGCCCTGTACTGGGCCCTGAGACTAAAAAGCTCAGCATTTGAGCCCCTCATGGTGTACAGAGATAGACAAGATAAACGCATAAATGCAGTATGATGTGGTGTGTGTGATAGCGGGGTATGTATGAAGGCAGGGGGAACCCAGCTGAAGTAGGAATCATTCTGCCTTGAGAGAAAAAAATGGGTAGCTTGAGCTGCAAGGAAAAGGTGACATTTGAGCTGGGTCTTGATGGAGGAGAGACTGACATAGGGGAGAAAGACATTCTAGGTAAAGGACTCGGGTTCTTCAAAGGGACTCGGCTCAAGAGTGATTTGGGGGGAAACTCAGAAGTCCACTGCATTTCCTTTCATCTTTCTCCGCAACTACACTGGGAACACCTTGAAGTCGAAAGACCCAGTCTAAGGCCAGGTGTGGTGGTTCACGCCTATAATCCCAGCACTTTAGGAGGCCGAAGTGGGTGGATCACTTGAACCCAGGAGTTTGGGACCAGTCTGGGCAACATGGTGAAACTCTGTCTCTACAAAAAAAAAAAAAAAAAAAAAAAAAAAATTAGCCAGGCATGGTGGTACACATCTGTAGTAGTCCCAGCTACTCAGGAGGCTGAGCTGGGACGATCATATGAGCCCTGGAGGTTGAGGCTGCAGTGAGCCAAGATCATGCCACTGCACTCTAGCCTGGGTGGCAGAGTGAGTGAGACCCTGTCTTCTCTGGCCTGGGCCCCAGACTGTCTCTTGTCCTCCATATAAGTTCATCTGTCCTATGTTTCCAGATGCAAATGACTGATGAGATAAACTCACTCATGTTTTGTGTTATTGGGAACGGATGGGTTTTTTTTTTTTTTTAATTTATTTGAGACGGAGTTTTACTCTTGTTGCCCAGGCTGGAGTGCAATGGCACGATCTCGGCTCACCACAACCTCCGCCTCCCTGGTTCAAGCGATTCTCCTGCCTCAGCCTCCCAAGTAGCTAGGATTACAGGCATGCGCCACCACGCCTAATTTTTTTTTTTATTTTTAGTAGAGACGGGGCTTTTCCATGTTTGTCAGGCTGGTTTCAAACTCCCGACCTCAGGTGATTCTCCTGCCTCAGCCTCCCAAGTAGCTAGGATTACAGGCATGCGCCACCACGCCTGACTAATTTTTTTTTTTTTTTTTAATTTTTAGTAGAGACGGGGCTTTTCCATGTTTGTCAGGCTGGTTTCAAACTCCCGACCTCAGGTGATCCTCCTGCCTCAGCCTCCCAAAGTGTTGGGATTACAGGTGTGAGCCACCGCACCCGGCCTTTTTTTTTTGTTATTTTGAGATGCAGTCTTGCTCTATCGCCCAGGCTGGGGTGCAGTGGCGCAATCTTGGCTCACTGCAACCTCTGCCTCCTGAGTAGCTGGGACTACAGGTGCACGCCACTATACCTGGCTAACTTTTGTATTTTTGGTAGAGATGGCGTTTTGCCATATTGGCCAGGGTGGTCTTAAACTACTGAGCTCATGTGATCTGCCTGCCTTGGCCTCCCTAAGTGCTGGGATTACAGACGTGAGCCACCAAGCACGGCCGAGGTTATTTAATTAATTCAATAAATAATTATTTCACCCAGCATTAATTTAGGCTTAGTATGTGCGAGGCATAGAAAAGATTATAGTGTGGTGCTTAAGGGACAGGCTTAAAATCAGAATGACTGGGTCTGAATCTTACTAATTAGCTGGGAGGTCTCATTCAAGGTAGGTACTTAACCCCTCAATGTTCTCCTCTAGAAAATAGGAATAATAATGCTCCATAGTGTTGTGGAGATTCAGTAAGAGAGCCCACATGTGAACTCAGCATGGTGCCCAGTATAGTAAATATTAATTAATGGTGGTATATACAGTATAGTATATATGTCTGTGTGTGTATATATACACATGCACACACATATATATTATAAATATATAAACAATATATAAGATACACATGTAGTATTTACATATAAAGTATAAAAACATATACACGTACATATATGTATATGTAGTGTACATATACACATGTACATATATTACTAGGTAGTGTATGACATATATGTGTGTGTTTGTGTGTGTGCCTGTGTGTGTGTATGTATATGTATGTATGTATATATCCATTCTTATTCTTAGGGAATTTAAAGACTTCAAATGGGAAAGAAAACCACTCAAATAACCAGAAAATTATAATGTATTTTTCCCAGGTGATGTATTAGCGTTTGAAACAGTGACTTTCTGGAGTCATTAATCAAAGGACAGTTATTCTTAGGGAGATTCTTTTTTTTTTTTTGAGAGAAATTAGGATTGATGAATGGAAGGAGGCAGACTTTTGTCTCAGTATAAAGGAGACATTTTTAACAGAGCATCTTGCCGGGCGCAGTGGCTCATGCCTGTAATCCCAGCAGTTTGGGAGGCCGAGGTGGGTGGATCATCTGAGGTCAGGAGTTCAAGACCAGCCCGGCCAATGTGGTGAAACCCCATCTCTACTAAAAATAAAAAAAAATTAGCCGGGTGTGGTGGCAGGCGCATGTAATCCCAGCTACTCAGGAGGCTGAGGCAGGAGAATCGCTTGAACCCGGGAAGCGGAGGTTGCAGTGAGCCAAGATTGCACCATTGTATTCCAGCCTGGGCAACAAGAGCGAAACTCCATCTCAAAAAAAAAAAAAAACAAAAAAAAAAACAAAAAAAGAGAGCATCTTGGAGGTAGTGAGCTCCTCATGTCCTGGAAGGTGACCAAGCATAGGCTGGCTATTGGTAGAGAGGCTTCCTGGATTCTTTAGGAGGTTGTATAGGGGATTCTAGGCTCCTCAGAAGCATTTTGCAAAGGGCTCTCTTTCCCAGCCATGTTCCTGAAAGCCTTTTCTCTCTCCCTCTTTGGATACCTCCCTCCTTTGGCAGGACCTGGAACTCCGTACATATAATGGTGCCTGAGGCAGCTACCAGGGCAGGTGCTTCGTGCAGGTGACCTGGCACCTTATCTCCCCTGCCCCCGTCTCTCTCCTGTCTTTTCTGGCTTAACTCTTAGAGCAGAAATAACCCAAGGCCAAATATTAACTGTGAAACCATAAAACCATGTGAAGGCCAGGTAGCTTCCAGTGGCCTGGACTCTTGGTGCCCTGTTATCGAGAAATGCTCTCTCACCTCTCAATGGGTGGAGAGGGTGGAGTGGCTGGGATGATGATGAGGGACCCAGAACTTTAGCCTTCCACCCAAGTGGAATGATGGGCAGAGGCTGCCTCTGTTGCCTGAGGCTTCCAGGGGGATTGTTGGAATCTGTTCCTTGGGGCCTGGGGAGAGACAACCGCAGCATCTTTTAGCATCAACAGATGCTAAAGATGCAATCAGGAACTCTCTTAGCTTGTACAAAGTTTTCACAGGCACCTACATAGTACTGGAATACGCATCTACCACTCATGTACCCTGGTATATACTCATCTGTATACTGTGTCTTACTCATCTTCAGAACTTGGCACAGTGCCTGCAACACCAACCCATCTTTGTTGAACTGATGAGTGAACAGTGAATGAACAAATATTTGTGCCCACCCACACACTCATCCACACATGTAGATATTTGCAGGAGGGTACCTGTAGATACACATGCACGTTCACATTATACCTACACAACATGCACACACATTCAGACCAAACACAATAGCATAAATGTACCTGTCCATACACACCAGCACAGAACAGTCACATGCATATGAATATGTATGTAAATTTACAGATTCCTGAATGACCCGGCAGCATGGCAGAGGTGGTGGCTACTGATATGGCTCTGATGACGGGAGGAAGACCAGGGTCCTTGGTCTTGCGCCAATGTAGGTAAGTGACACGGACACACATGGAGTAGTTTTAAGGAGCAAAAAGTTTAGTAGGCAAGAAAGAAGAAAAAAAAGAAGAAAACGGCTTCCCTGTACAGAGACAGAGGTGGGGGCTCAGAACAAAGAGGAACCCCATGTGTGGCGGAAAAAGTGGTTGCTTATATTGGGATGCTGGAGGAGGAGGTGTCTGGTTTGCATAAGGCCCAGGGGATTGGTTTGGCCAGGTGTGTCATTTACGTAGCCCGAGAAAAACCTGGCCCTCCCACCTTAGACCCGAATGCGGGTCGCCATGATGTTCAAAACATCATCTTTCGACTGGAAAGACCACCTGTCGGTTGTATGCTGGGAAGCCTGCACACACTCTGTTATGAACTGAATTGTGTCCCCTGTAAAATTTATATGTTGAAGTTCTAACCCACAATACCTCAGAATGTGACTATATTTGGGGAGAGGTCTTTTAAAGAGATTATTAAGGTTAAATGAGGTCACATGGGTGGGCCCTGATCCAGTCTTACTGACATCCCTATAAGAGGAAATTTGGGCCAGACGTGGTGGCTCTCACCTGTAATCCCAGCACTTTGAGAGGCCGAGGCAGGCGGATCATCTGAGGTCAGGAGTTCGAGACAGGCCTGGCTAACATGGTAAAACCCCGTTTCTACTAAAAATACAAAAAATTAGCTGGGCGTGGTGGCGCATTCCTGTAATCCCAGCTACTCTGGAGGCTGAGGCAGGAGAATTGCTTTAATCTGGGAGGCGGAGGTTGCAGTGAGCCAAGATCGTGCCACTGCACTCCAGCCTGGGCGACAGAGTGAGGCTCCATCTGAAAAAAGGAAAAAAAAAAAAAAAGAAGAGGAAATTTGAACACGCAAACAGGCATCAAGGATGCATGCAGACAAAGAAAGACCACGTGAGGATCTGTGAGGAGACGGCCCTCTGCAAGCCAAGGAGAGAGGCTGAAGGAGAAACCAAACCTGCTGCCCTTAATTTTGGGCTTCTAGCTCCCAGAACTGTGAGCTCATACATTGCTATTATTTAAGCCATCCAGCCTGTGATATTTAGTTATGGCAGCCCTAGCAAAGTAATACATACTCCAGAACTTTCATCTCTCTCTTCTCTAGATTTTGTACAGCAGGAGGAGGGACGGGGCTGAGGAGACCTCACCACTACAAGTAGGACCAAGTTCAGTGTCTCTTGGCTTCTTGCAATCTCTTGAAGAAAATGTACTGGGCTGGCTGGAAGCTGCCCTTGGCTGTTGTTTCCTTAAAGAATCATGATAGGGCCAGTATGGTGGCTCATGCCTGTAATCTCAGCTCTTCGGGAGGCCAAGGCAGGACAATTGTCTGAGGCCAGGAGTTTGCTGCCAGCCTGGGCAACATAGCGAGACCTCATCTCTACCAAAAAATAAAAAGCCAGCTTAGGAGAGGTGGTTGGTGCATGCTTTTGTAGTCCCAGCTATTTGGGAGGCTGAGATGGGAGAATCACCTGAGCCCAGAAGTAGGAGGTTACTGTGTGCCATGATCACACCACTGCACTCCAGCCTTGGAGACATAGTGAGACTCTTGTCTAAAAAAAAAAAAAAAAAAAAAAAGATCCATGACAATAGGCGGAGGAAAACAGTCTTAGATTCTAAAGGGGTGAATCCCCAAGCAGGCTGGAGCCAGTGTGAAGATATTTATGAAGTGTTTGTATGTGCACATGTTGGTGTGGAGGCAGCCCCAGCCTGCAGTCTTTTTTCTTAAAAAGAGGGTGATGCTATGATTTCACTGTGTGCTGCGCATTTCAAAGTCGAGGACTGGGAGGCAAGAACTCTGGCTTGAGTTTTGGGTTCTACCACCAACTTGCTGCATGGACTTAAGCAAATTGCTTCACTTTCATGGACTCTGGATTCTCATTTACATGGTTGCTTGTTTCATGGGGTTCCTGTAAAGGATCCAAGGAGCTAAGGGAGCTACAGGCGCTTTGAAGAGTTAAGAACATTAAGGACTTTTCCTAGCAGCCAGGACTTACTTTTCAGTTGGGTGAAAAGCATTTCAAATAGTCCGGCATCCTCAAAAATGAACCTGTGCCGAGTCCTGTGACGTTCATACAATAAAGGGCTAAACACAGCATACTTTCTGCTCTCAAGGGGGTAGGCCAACCAAGAATACCCACAGAGGCTGGTCACTATGACCCCAAGCAGTCAGCCGTATACCGGGATAGAGTATAGTATAGAGAGGTGCTAAGAATGCTGTGGTCTTGGGGCTTTGAGAAGTCAGAGGAAGTTTCATGGAGGTAGTGAGGATTGGCTGAATTTGGTTGGGTAGATGGTGGGAGTTGGAGGTAATGGAGTATTCTGAGTGGAAGAGTCAGGATGGCCGTTGGTCCGTGGAGGCAGGAGAGGAATGATGCCACATCAGAGTTACAGGTAAAGATTAAAAGGGAAAACCAGAGTGATGAGGTTAATTTTTGAGTCCTTCCTGGAACTGCCCCAGCCCAATGGTTAATCTTTTTGGCCCCTTGGACCCTGTCCCAGGCATACATACACACAACCTGGGGATCCAGAGCAGCCCAGGGCAGAGCTGAGGGGGAACTTGGAGGTCACCCTGCTCAAGCCTGACCCCATTCCAGAAGCAAAACAGAAGATAGATAGAGGGACTGGGGTTTCACAAGGAGTTAGTTGGTAATGCAGAGATTTGAGCTCAGGTCTCCAGAGACAGTCTAGTACCTTTCCTAGGTGATCACCTGGGTCTTAAAAGTGGACTGGGTTTCAGAGGCTTTTACCTAGTGTTGGGGAGGGTTGCGAGTTTGGATCCTAACTTGTAAGCGTAGCTGTATTTGTTGATTGTTTCTGGATGCAGAGCCTAGGATTGCACACTGGATAGGCTCCTGCAGGTAACTGAGGTAGGCAGTTCCTGTGCCTCGGGACTTCAGGAGTGACCAGCAGGCCCTCCGTGTTCCTGCCTGGCTAACTGATAGCTACCATTTCATTAGAAGGGCTTCATGCCCACAGCTGGAGGCTTTGATCTTTTTCACAATGCTATTTTGCTCTGGGAGGGACATTCATAGCAAACTTTGAATCAGTTGATGATATAACTCAGTGTAAAGTGTGGTGTGGGGGAAGGAACAGATCCTTTCCTGAGAGCTAATTTTGATGGGGAAAGAAAGCATGAAGGTATTTAGTGCAATGAAAAGACAAAGGCAGCCAGGGAGGCCTGGCCCTTAGGATCTAGTCTGGAGGTTCGGAGCTTGGTTTCAGAATTAGGCAGATTTTTCTTTTCCTTGTTAAAAAAGCAGTATCACCTAATTACAGATTAATCAGAAAACACAGAGAGCAATGATAGCAGAAGAAATAATCCCTACAGTCCCATTCTCCCCTTCTCCCTTAAATGGCCATTATTAGTGCCTAAGTATAGTCCCTCTAGTCCCTTCTCTATGCATATTTTATGTATGTGTGTGTACATATATAATGTACATGTGTGAGTTTCAGATTTCGAACCACCAGAACTGTGAAACAAGAAATTTCTTTTTCTTTTTTTTTTTTTTTGAGACAGAGTCTTGCTCTCTTGCCCAGGCTGGAGTGTAGTGGCGTGATCTTGCCTTACTGCAACCTTTTCCTCCCAGGTTCAAACAATTCTCTGCCTCAGCCTCCTGAGTAGGTAGGATTACAGGCGCCCACCACCACACTCGGCTAATTTTTGTATTTTTAGTAGAGACGGGGTTTCACTATGCTGGCCGGGCTGGTATGGAACTCCTGACCTCGTGATCTGCCTGCCTTGGTCTCCCAAAGTGCTGGGATTACAGGCGTGAGCCACCGCACTTGGCCAGGAAAATAAATTTCTATTGTTTAAGCCACCGGTTGTGGGACTTTGTTATGGTAGCCCTAGCAAATGAATGCAAGTGCCCTAGAGCTGTGGTTCTTAGGTTCTTGGACCAACAGCATCAGCATTACCTGGGATTTGTTCAGCAACGTGTGTATATACATTGATATTATTTATATGTCTACTATATGTATGTGTATATAAGTAAAAAGTAGCATATAACCTTGCTTTCACTCTGATCTGGAAAGTTTGCTGAGCTGTAGACTGGGCAGCACGTGCTTGTGGACATCTCAAAGCAGGTCCCTCTTGTGCCAATTTGTTTTTATACCCTCTTCTTGTCTCTCTTCATTACCCTCTAGAGCAAGCGTTGGTAAACTTTTTCTGTAATAGGCCAGCTAGTAAATATCTTGTTTTGTGGGCCATATGGTCTCTGTCACAATGACTTGACTGCCATTGTAGCACAAAAGCAGTCATAGATAATATGTAAGTGGATGATCGTGAACATGTTCCAGTCACACTTCATTTACAGACAATGAAATTTGAATTTCATGTGATTTTCATGTGTCATGAAATAGTCTTCTTCTTATAATTTTTTCAACCATTAAAAAAATGTGAAAATCGGCTGGGCATGGTGGCATGCAATCTGTAATCCCAGCACTTTGGGAGGCTGACCGAGGAGGGTGGATTGCGCGAGCCCAGGAGTTCAAGACCAGCCTGGGCAACATGGTGAAAGTCCATCTCTCCAAAAAAATATACAAAAATTAGCTGGACATGGTGGTGACTGCTTGTAGTCCCAGCTACTGGGGAGGCTGAGGTGAAAAGATTGCTTGAGCCTGGGAGGTGGAAGCTGCAGTGAGCAGAGAGTGCACCACTGCACTCCCTGTCTCAAAAAAAAAAAAAAAAAAAATGAAAATCAAGCCGGGTGTAGGTGGTGTGTGCTTGTAGTCCCAGCTACTCAGGAGGCTAAGGCAAGAAAATTGCTTGAGCCCAGGAGTTGGAGGCTGCAGTGAACTATGATAGCGCCATGGCACTCCAGCCTGCGTGACAGAGCGAGACCCCATCTCTTAAAAAAAAAAAAAAAAAAAGTAAGTAAAAATCATTATTAGTTTATAGACAACACAAAAAACCATGGTGGGCTAAGTTTAGCCCATGGGTCATACCTAGCTGATCCCTGCTCTGTAGTAGTGATGTCTGATAGAACTTTCTGTTCTGATGGAAATGTTCTATATTTGTGCTGTCAAATACAGTAGCCATGAGCCATATGTGGCTACTGAGCACTTGAAATGTGCCCAAGGTGACTTGAGGAACTCAGGTTTCAGTTTTATATCATATTAATAAATGTAAATTTAAATAGCCATTTGTGCCTGTGACTCCTGTATTCAATAGGGTGTTATTTTCTGAGGGCTGCTATACCAAATTATCACAAATTGGGTGGCTTAAAACAATGCAAATTAATTTTTTCATAGTTCCAGAGGCTATGAGCAAATAAACCAGGTGTTAACAGAGCCATACTGCTTCTGAAGGCTCTAGGGAAGAATCCTTCCTTGCCCCTCTTCCAGCTTCTGGGGGCTTCTGGCATCCTTGATGTCCTTTAGCTTGTGGATACATCACTCCAGTCTCTGCCTCCATTGTCACATGGCATTCTCCGTGTGTGTGTGTGTGTGTGTGTGTGTGTGTCTCCAAATCTTGCTATCTTTATAAGCACACCAGCCATTGGATTTAGGGCCCATCCGAATCCAGTATGACCTCATCTTTACTAATTACAACTGCAAAGACCCTATTTCCAAATAAGGTCACATTCTGAGGTTCTAGGTGGACATGAATTTTGGGAAGACACCAATCAACCCAGTATAGCTAGAGTAGCTCTAAAGCAGTGGTTCTTAAATTTAGTGTGCATCAGAATCACTTGAGGACTTGCTGAACCATAGCTTGCTAAGCCCTATCCCCAGACCTTCTGATTGGTAGGTCTTGTTTGTCTAACAAATCCCATGTATTTTGATGCTGTTGGTTCAGGGACCACACTTTGGGAACAATTGCTATAGTACTCTTGCATTCATTTCTAGGGTTACTATAACAAAGTCCCACAAACCTGGTGGCTTAAACAATAGAAAGCTATTTTCTCACAGTTCTGGAGGGTAGAAGTCTGAAATCAAGGTGTTGGCGGGGTTGGTTCCTTCTGAGGGCCTTGAGGGAAGATCTATGCCAGGCCTCTCTCCTTGGCTTATAGATGGCAGTCTTCTTATTCGCATGGCATTTTCACTGTGTGTGTGTCTCCGTGTCCAAGTTTCCCCTTTTTATTAGGACAACAATCACATTGGATTAGGGCCCACCCTAATGACCTTATTTTAATTTGATGACCTCTCTAAAGACCTTATCTCCAAATAAGGTCCCATTTTGAGCTACTGGGAGTTAAGATTTCAGCATGAATTTTTTTGAGGGATAAGACACAAACGCATAACAGAGCTTGACTATGCTTTTGGCACCTTGAGCTAAGGGGTACCTTCTTGGAGCTCCTGTGTACAAGATAACTGTGCTTCTCTTGTCTTTGAACTCGGGATAGAAGCTGGCCTGGATGAAAGTTTCTAGGATGAGGAGGCAGGAATCTTGGCTTTGCTCTGCTGACACCTGACTGGGGACTTGGACAAATAACTTGTCTCGGGGACTTGGACAAACAACTTGTCTCAAGGTCTTAGTATCTCCTTGGTCTTTGGTGAGCTCTGATAATCTGTGATTCACAGGTGACAAGACCAGGTTAGTTTTTGGTTCATTCTTGGCCTCCGTTCTGTCTGTAGGCCCTCAATTTGTGCTAGTGAGACCAAGGCTGGGAATTTGATCCTTTCGGGCTCATTGATTTTTTTCTATGCTCACTTTATCAATATTTTACTCATTCATTCAACAAACACTTATTGAGCATCTCTTGTGTAGTAGGCATTGTGCTCAACAGGACAGGGTCTTGGCTCTTCTTAGCTCAGTCTGGTGGTGAGAGACATATAACCAGATAATCAGCAATACTTTTTTTTTCCTTGAAGAGATATGGTCTCCCTGTGTTTCCCAGGCTGGTCTTGAACTCCTGGGCTTAAGCGATCCACCTGTCTTGGCCTCCCAGAGTACTCAGATTACAGGCATGAGCCACTGTACCCAACCTGAGAAACACATTTGATGAGTGTTATGGCTACTGTTAATTTTTTTTTTTTTTTTTTGAGGCAAGGTCTCACTCTGTCACCTGGGATGGAGTGCAGTGATGTGATCATGGTTCACTGCAGCCTTGACCTCCTGGGGTTGAGTGATCCTCCCACCTTAGCTTCCCTAGTAGCTGGGACTATAGGGCCATGCTACCACATCTGGCTGATTCTTGTATTTTTTTAAGAGATGGGCTTTTGCCATGTTGCCCAGGCTGGCCTTAAACTCTTAGGCTCAGTCAGTCTGCCCACCTTGGCCTCCCAAAGTGCTGGCATTACAAGTGTGAGCCATTGCACCCAGACAAAATTTTTAATTGGGAAGCCACTAGGCTGACATGGCTCCAGCATATTAAGTCCCAATGTAAACAGTAAAACATAATTAGAGAATTCATCAATCAGAAACTTCTAACTAACTTCTAAATAGGGACTTTTTGCTCTAACCAAATATGTTTTCTTTGTCTTTCTTCCACAAACACCTTATGAAAGTTTCTCACCCCCATCCCCCAGTGCAGTGCTAAATTGCTTGTGGTCTGGTGCTGCCTGATTCATGAATCACTGTCTGCTAAAATAAACTCTTTAACACTGTAATATGCCTAAGTTCTTTTAACATTATGTGATAAACATAATGTGCTATGGGAACTAGGATGGTAGGGTGGGTAGTTCTGCCTGGGGGGTGTCAGAAAAGGATTTAATGAAGAGATGAGCTGTATTATTATTATTTTTTAAGAGATGGAGTCTCACTTTGTCATCCAGGCTGGATTACAGTGGCGTGATCATAGCTTACTGCAGCCTCAAACTCCTGGGTTCAAGTGATCCTCCTGCCTCAGCCTCCCAAGTAGCTGGGACTACAGGCATATGCCACTGTGCCAAGCTAATTTTAACATTTTTTTGTAGAGACAGGGTCTTGCTTTGTTGCCCTGGTTGGAATGCATCTTAAAGGTTGAATCATAGTTCTATGGGGACAGAGGGCCAAGAGAGGAATTCTAAGAAGAAGAGGAATTCTAAGAAGAAGAGGAATTCTAAGAAGAAAGAACAGCTTGTGCTATTCCTGGCAGGTATGAAGAGTAACTGGGTATGTTTGGTGCTCCAAGACATGTGGACTACTAGTGGCAGATGAGGCTGAAAATATGGTTTCAGAACAAGGAAGGATGTTATATGCCAGGCCAAGGAGGTTAGACTTCATCCCGAGCCAAAAAGGAACCGTGAGGGTTTTTACACTGGGGGAGTTACATGTTCACATGTCTGTTTTGAGAAGCTGTGTCTGGCCTGAGGAGTCTAGAGGCAGGGAGGGCAGTTAGGGAGTCAGTCCTATGGCTCAAGTGACTGATGACGAGGTCTGAACCAAGGCGGGGGTCATGGTGGTAGAGAGGAGAGGACAAATTCAAGAAGATGTTTAAGGTCTTTAGCTTGGGCGACTGCGTGTTTGGTTGTGCAGTGGCTGGCCAGGGAAGAGGAGGAAGAAGGTTTGGGTGGAGAGAGTAATGTCTTGTTTTGGACATACGACATTCAAGGGGTCTGGGCACCACCCAGGGAGGTGTCTTCAGTCAGCTTGTGAACTGTAAGTCTGGAGCTCCAGAGAGGGACAGGGCTCATCGCAGGCATCTCCTCCTGCTCATTGCTCCAGCCACGCTGCCCTTCTCTCCCTTCTTAGATCATTCCAGCCAAGTTTATTCCACCTTAGGGCCTCTGATATGACTCTTCCTCTGGTTTTCCACATGGCTGGCTCCTTTCATTCTTTTTTTTTTTTTGTAATTTTTTTTGGAGATGGAGTCTTGCTCTGTCACCCAGGCTGGAGTGCAGTGGCACCATCTCGGCTCACTTCAGCGTCCGCCTCCCAGGTTCAAGAGATTCTCCCATCTCAGCCTCCCAAGTAGCTGGGATTATAGGTACCTGCCACCACATCCAGCTAATTTTTGTTTATATATTTATTTATTTATTTCAGAGTCTTGCTTTGTCGCCCAGGCTGGAGTGCAGTGATGTGATCTCAGCTCACTGCAACCTCCACCTCCTGGGTTCAAGCGATTCTCCTGCCTCAGCCTCCCCAGTAGCTGGGATTCCAGGTGCGCTCCATCACTCCTGGCTAATTTTTGTATTTTTAATAGAGACAGGGTTTCACCATGTTGGCCAGGCTGATCTTGAACTTCTGACCTTGTGATACACCCGCCTCGGCCTCCCAACGTGCCGGGATTAAAGGCATGAGCCACTGCACCTGGCCAATTTTTGTATTTTTAGTAGAGGCGGGGTTTCATCATGTTGGCCAGGCTGGTCTAGAATTCCTGATCTTAGGTGATCCACCCACCTCGGCTTCCCAAAGTGCTGGGATTACAGGTGTGAGCCACTGCACCCGGCCTCACTGTTTAGCTCTCAGCAGTGTAAGGGCAGAGACTTTATTTTATTTGGTGCTCTATCCTCAAGGCCATCTACTATGTGCCAGGAGCTCAACGCATATCTGTTGAATGAATAAGTGATTGGCGGCTAAAGTCTGGGAGTGAAGCAGGGGGAGAGGATGCACATAAACATTAGAGGGATCTGGCTAGGTGTGGTGGCTCATGCCTATAATCCTAGCACTTTGGGAGGCTGAGGCTGGAGGACCACTTGAGACCAGGGGTTCGAGTCCAGCCTGGGCAACACAGTGAGACCCCATCTCTACCAAAAAATTAAGAAAATTAGCCAGGTGTGGTAGCATTCACCTATAGTCCCAGCTACTTGGGAGGCTGAGGCAGAGGGATCACTTGAGCCCAGAAGTTTGAGGCTGCAGTGGGCTCTGATCACTCCAGCCTGGGAGATAGTGTAAGAGTCAGAGTGCCTGAACTCAAATTCCCCTCTTACTAGCTGTGTTAACTGAGACCAGTGCCTCAGCTTCTTCATCTGTAAAATGGGGATAATAATGGTATCTACCACTCTGGGTTGTTTTAAGGACCAAATGAGACCTCTCATGGCATGTTCAATAAGTGTTAGCCATTATTATTAATTAAATACTACCTTATGCCAGATAATATGCAAGGGACTTTCAATGCAATTTTTTAAATTCTCACAATAACCTGTTGAGATAGGAATTTAAAAAAAAATCCATGTTTTACACTCAGAAAGAGGAAGTCACGGAATCACACATTTACCAGTTGAGAAGTAGAGGTACTGGAAGTTAAGCCCGGGTTTGTCTGACTTTAATGCCTGTGCTCCTAACCATTACACTGCTCTCATCTGCAGATGTGACCTTGGAGTCCTGGTGTGGTAAAGTGAATCGGCTGCAGAGGCCTGCCAGAACTCAGAGGTCCTGCCTCCTAGAGCCTTAGCTTCCCTAATCCGGCAGAGATCCTCTCCAGAAAGGGTATCAGCAGCACAAAGGCTGTCTCAAGATGAGGTGCACCCTGAGATCAGTCTTCCTACCTCTGACTGGGAAGACTGGCAGCGGACCCGGGATGCCTTGTGAAATGCACAGCCTGGTGATCCACACCAACCTACAGACCAGAATTTTTATGACCAGTCATCACATTTCTCTCCAATATCTAGAACCTTTGGGTAGGATAAGAGACTTCAATTAAAATGCAATCTTCCCCTTTGACCAATTACTCTTTAATTATCTTCCTACTCACTAACCTCTGCTGATACCATGATAAGTAAGAGAAAATGACTTTTGAATTAGTTCATTGGTGACAAAGTCTTCTAAGGAAACAGTGTTTTATATATATCCATAGATACACGTGCACACACCTGCTCAGCTGCCCATGTGCAAACACGTGCCTGCCATGGAGCATGTATCTACATAGGTCTACATATTCCCTAGAACACAAATAACCTTGCAGAGAACTTGCTACATGTGCCAGGGTTCTTATCTACCCAATTGTGCATACATAGCAAAAACAAACAAAAAAACCCTAATACAACCACACACCCACAAGACAAAACCAAAATCCAAAACCAAACCCCAAACCCACCAAATCCTCAGATGACTCTTAAGTTTGGAGGGACAGAGATTAAGCAAAAAATTAAGAATATTAGTTTTTGGCCGGGCACGGTGGCTCATGCCTATAATCCCAGCACTTTGGGAGGCCGAGGTGGGTGGATCATCTGAGGTCATGAGTTTGAGACCAGCCTGGCCAACATGGCGAAACCCTGTCTCTACTAAAAATACAAAATTAGCTGGGCGTTGTGGTGTGTGCCTGTAATCCCAGCTACTCTGAAGGCTGAGGGAGGAGACTCGCTTAGAACCTGGGAGGCGGAGGTTGCAGTGAGCCGAGATCACGCCACTGCACTCCAGCGTGGGCAACAAAGGGAGACTCTATCAAAAAAAAAAAAAAAAAAGAATATGAGTTTCTATTCATTGCTCGCTCACTAAATGCTCAAAACTGTACTAAGCACTTTACATATACTGTCTCACCTAGTCTTCATAACAACCCCATGAATCAGATATTAGCACTCCAATTGTTTCTTGCAGGAAGACTGAGGCCATGGTAAAGTCCCAGTACCCCAAGGGATTATAGGCACATCAGTCTTTTTTGTTTTTTGTTTTTTAATTTTACTTTAAGTTCTGGGATACATGTGCTGAACGTGCAGGTTTATTACATAGGTATACATGTGCTATGGTGGTTTTCTGCAGCTATCAACCCATCATCTAGGTTTTAAGCCCCACATGCATTAGGTATTTGTCCCTTCCCTTTGCCCCTACCTCCTGACACATCAATCTTTTTGATATAGCTTGCCAAGGTCACATAACTGGCAATTCACAGAAGCAAACTTTGATGTGCAGCTGTGTTCTGACTACAAAACCTTTGTTCTTAACCACTAGGATCTTAACCATTTGTGTTTTTTAAGAAAAAAAATCCAATGACACTGGTTAAAGCACTGTAATGAAGACTTTTTTCTTTTTTTTCTTTTTTTTTTTTTTTGAGACGGAGTCTCGCTCTGTCACCCAGGCTGGAGTGCAGTGGCCGGATCTCAGCTCACTGCAAGCTCCGCCTCCCGAGTTCACGCCATTCTCCTGCCTCAGCCTCCCGAGTAGCTGGGACTACAGGCGCCTGCCACCTCGCCCGGCTAAGTTTTTGTATTTTTAGTAGAGACGGGGTTTCACTGTGTTACCCAGGATGGTCTCGATCTCCTGACCTCGTGATCCGCCCGCCTCGGCCTCCCAAAGTGCTGGGATTACAGGCTTGAGCCACCATGCCCGGCCACGAAGACTTTTTTCAAGACCATCATGATAGGTATAAAAACAATGGGATATTGTAGTGGGAGGGAGAGAAATTGTGTTTAACTCTGAATATAGCATGAACAAGTGGGAATTAGTGGCCAAGGGGCAGGGTGGGGGGCCAGTGAATAGAAAATTACTAAGAGGAGTTATTGGGGGAAGAGGGATTCTGGCTAAACTGACCTAACAGGATTCCTGCTAAAGACAGGCCAGGGTGATCAGTCATTACCTGATGGATGGTAGAGGATGAGGAACCTGATCAGATATTGAGGGTGATCAGATGTCAAGGGTGGGGGTGTTCTTGCAAAACTTGACTTAGTAGGGTTCTTTGCTAAAACTGTATTTTATGAGGAAGTACACATATATCGACCTAGGAGAAGGTTCAGGAGCCTGATTAAAGTTTGGTCAAAGTCGGGCACGGTGGTTCATGCCTGTAATCCCAGCACTTTGGGAAGCTGAGGCAGGTGGATCACCTGAGGTCAGGAGTTCGAGAGCAGCCTGACCAACATGGAGAAACCTCGTCTCTACTAAAAATACAAAATTAGCCTGGCGTGGTGGTGCATGCCTGTAATCCCAGCTGCTTGGGAGGCTGAGGCAGGAGAATCACTTGAACCTGGGAGGCGGAGGCTGCAGTGAGCCGAGATCGTACCATTGGACTCCAGCCTGGGCAAAAAGAGTGAAACTCCGTCTCAAAAAAAAAAAAAAAAGTTTGGTCAAGTAAACCGTCTTTGTCAATTTCTATGTCAGGCCTAGAGAGAAGAAATAAATTTATTTTTACTTTTACTCTTATTTTTTGAGTGAGAGTCATACTCCGTCACCCAGGCTGGAGTGCAGTGGTACCATCTCAGCTCACTGCAACCTCTGCCTCCTGGGTTCAAGTGATTCCTCCTCCAGAGTAGCTGGGATTACAGGTGCACACCACCATGCCCGGCTAATTTTTTGTATTTTTAGTAGAGATGAAGTTTCACTATGTTGGCCAGGCTGGTCTTGAACTCCTGACCTCAAGTGATCCGCCTGCCTAGGCCTCCCAAAGTGCTGGGATTACAGGCGTGAGCCACTGCACCTGGTGTGAATTTAATTTTTAATGAATAGCAGCATGAGACATCTTCCACCGCCATCATCCTCAATTTAGAAGGAGAAGCTAGCTATTTAAAAAAAAATTATAGCAAAATATACACAATATTAAATTTACCTAGTAAACCATTTTTTAAGTAAACTCAGTGGCATGAAGTATTTCTTTTAAAAAATTATTTTCATTGATACATGATAATTAGACATATTTAAGCCAAGCGAGGTGGGATTATGCCTGTGATCCCAGCACTTTGGGACCCCGAGGCGGGCAGATCACGAGGTCAGGAGATCGAGACCATCCTGGCTAACATGCTGAAACCCTGTCTCTCCTAAAAATACAAAAAAAATTAGCCAGGTGTGGTGGCAGGTGCCTGTAGTCCCAGCTACTTGGGAGGCTGAGGCAGGAGAATGGCATGAACCTGGGAGGCAGAGCTTGCAGTGAGCTGAGATTGTGCCACTGCACTCCAGCCTGGGCAACAGGGGGAGACTCCATCTCAAAAAAAAGATACATATTAAAGTGTTCATGTGATATTTTGATACAGGCATACAATCTGAAATGATCAATTTGGAGTAATTAGGATATTCATCACCTCAATTTTTTTTTTTTTTTTTTGATACAGAGTCTTACTCCAACACCCAGGGGCTGGAATGCAGTGGCATGATCACGGCTCATTGCAGCCTCAACCTCCCAGGCTCAGGTGATTCTCTCACCTCAGCCGCCCAAGCTCTTGGAACTACAGATGCTCACCACCACGATTGGCTAATTTTTTTTTTTTTTTTTTGAGACTGAGTCCTGGTCTGTTGCCCAGGCTGGAGTGCAGTGGCATGATCTCGGCTCACTGCAACCTCTGGCTCCTGGGTTCAAGCGATTTCTGGCTAATTTTTGTATTTTTACTAGAGATGGGGTTTCACCATGTTGGCCAGGCTGGTCTTGAACTCTTGACCTCAAGTGATCTGCCCACCTCGGCCTCCCGAAATGCCTCATTAGGCATGAGCCATGAGCCACCGCACCCACCCGTGGCTAATTTTTTGTATTTTTTGTAGGGATGGGGTTTTGCCACGTTGCCCAGGCTGGTCTTGAAGTTCTGGGCTCAAGCCATCTGCCGGTCTTGGCCTCCCAAAATGCTGGAATTACAGGCATAAGCCACTGTGTGCAGCCTCACCTCAAACATTTATTGTTTCTTTGTGTTAGAAACATTTCAAATCTTCTAACTATTTTGCAAAATACGATGTTATTGTTAACTATACTCACCCTATTGTGCTATTGAACACTAGAAATTATTCCTTCCATTTAATTGTCTGTACCCATTAGTCAACCTCTCTTTATTCCCCCTGCTACCCTTTCTGGCCTCTGGTATCTACCATTCTAGTCTCCACCTCCATGAGATACCTTTTCTTAGCTCCTGCATATGAGGGAGAACATGTATTTGTCTTCTGTGCCTGGCTTTTTTCATTTAACATAATGGCCTCCTGTTCCATCTAGGTTGGTGCAAATGACAGGACTTTATTCTTTTTTGTGGCTGAATAGTATTTCATTGTGTATATATACTACATTCTCTTTTCTCATTTATCAGTTGATGGGCACTTAGGTTCCTTCCATATCTTACCTTTTGTGAGTACTGCTGCAAGAAACATGGATGTGCAGATATGTCTTTAATGCACAATTTCCTTTCTTTTGGGTATATACCAAGCAGTGGGATTGTTGGATCATATAGTAGATCTATTTTTTTTATTATACTTTAAGTTCTAGGGTACATGTACACAATGTGCAGGTTTGTTACATATGTATACGTGTGCCACGTTGGTGTGCTGCATCCATTAATTCATCATTTACATTAGGTATATCTCCTAATGCTATCCCTCCCCCCTGCCCCCACCCCACGACAGGCCCCAGTGTGTGATGTTCCCCACCCTGTGTCCAAGTGTTCCCATTGTTCAGTTCCCACCTATGGATGAGAACATGCAGTGTTTGGTTTTCTGTCCTTGCAATAGTTTGCTCAGAATGATGGTTTCCAGCTTCATCCATGTCCTTACAAAGGACATGAACTCATCCTTTTTTATGGCTGCATAGTATTCCATGGTGTATATGTGCCACATTTTCTTAATCCAGTCTATCACTGATGGACATCTGGGTTGGTTCCAAGTCTTTGCTATTGTGAATAGTGCCGCAGTAAACATACGTGTGCGTGTGTCTTTATAGCAGCATGATTTATAATCCTTTAGGTATATACCCAGTAATGGGATGGTAGATCTATTTTTAGTTTTTTGAGGAACCTCCACACTGTTTTCCATGGGGGCAATACTAATTT